ATATGTATTTCACATACAAAGATATACAGCAAACACCACATATCATCAGAGACTAAGGGCTAAAAAGGGCACGAAACTATGAATAGTTTCCTTCGATTTAGCAAAAACGTGTTTCAGTCAAATGACCATGTCACCTTACAACACCCTGCCGCGCTTTTATATCATACTACAAGTTAAAATTGACTTGAATCACATAAAGAGAAAAATTTTGGATTCACATTTGAAAATTAGTCAAGACACAAAATTATTAATCATATCTATCAATTTCATAAAAAGTCATTTTCATTAAAATACAGTCACCTTACAACACCCTCATCCAAATTTGAATATTACTTAAAAAGAACATGACATTATGAGCAGTTTCCTTCAATTTCGCAAAAACACATTTTCATCAAAATGACCCTACAACACCCTGTTGCGCTTTTATAAAATACAAGTTAAAATTGGCTTGAATCACTATAAAAAGTAACACTTCACACTTCCAAATTTGAAAATAGCTTAAGAAGACAAGAAATTATGAGCTGTATGCTTCGATTTCTCAAAAACACATCTTAGATACAACACCCTGCCGCCATTTCATATGATGCAAATTAAAATTGTGCCTTGAAGAACAATAAAGAGTGACATTTCGCGCGTCCAAATTTGAAAATTGCTTAAAAAGAAGCCGAAATTACGATTTATTTTCTTCGATTACGCAAAAACCCATTTTTGTTAAAACGCATGTCACCTTATGACATCCTTCCAGGCATTTATGTCATTTAACTTAAAATTGGCTTTAAACACTATAAAGAGTATAATTTCACACATCCAAATGTAAAAATTACTTAAAACAGACATGAAATTATGAACTGTTTCCTTCGACTTCATAAAAAACAATTTTCGTCAAAACACAGTCGCCCTGAAGCACCTTTTGCCGCGCTTTTATGAGATAGAAATTAAAATTGATTTTAATCACTATTTAGAGTAAAATTTCATACATCCAAATGTGAAAATTGCTTAAAAAAAACACGAAATTATGAACCGTTTCTTTCGACTTCACCAAAAACACATTTTCTTCAAAATACAGTCACCCTTCAGCTCCCTACCGCGCCTTTATAACGTACAAATGAAAACTAGCTTCAACCACTATTTACAGTGACATTTTGTTAGTCGAAATTTGAATATTTCTTAAAAAGAAGCCATTTTCATCGATTACGCAAAAACCCATTTTCGTCCAACCGTATGTCATCTTACAGCACCCTGTCATATATTTATATCATTCAACTTAAAATTGGCTTTAACCATTCTAAAAAGTAAAGAGTAGTAGATTTCACGCATCCAAATGTCAAAATTACTTAAAAAAGAAAATGAAATTATGAACCGTTTCCTTCAACTTCATAAAAACACATTTTCATCAAAACACAGTCACCTTCCAACACTCTTTTATAAGATACAAACTAAAATTGCCATTATACTAACATTTCGCGCGTCCAAATTTGAAAATTGCTTAAAAAAAAGCCGAAATTACAGTTAATTTTCAACTATTACTCAAAAACCAATTTTCTTCTTAAGGCATGTCACCTTACCCTCTGCCGGGCTTTTATATCAAACATATTTAAATTAACTTAAAGAATGAAATTTCAAATTTAAAAATTGCTTAAAAAAGAGCAGGCGTTATGATTTATTTCCTTCGCTTACTCAAATACCCGTTTTCATTAAAACGCACATAACCTTACGACAACACCCTGTCGTACTTTTGTATCATAGTAATAATTAAAATTGGCTTGAATCACATAAACAGCGATGTTTTGCATTCAAATTTGGAAACTGCTAAAAAAAAGCAAAACTTGCGATTTATTTCCTTCGTTTACCCAAAAACTCGTTTTCGTCAATGCGCACGTCATCTTACGACACCCTATGGGGCTTTTGTATCAAATAACTTTAAATTGGCTTGAACCACGACTGTAAAGACCAAAATTTTAAAAGTGAAAATTTGAAAATTAGTTAAAAAGACACGAAATTATGACTCATTTCCTTCGATTTCGCAAATACTCGTTTTTCTCAAAAACATTCATCTTACAACACGCTGTCGCGCATTTATATCATCAAATTAAAGGTCGGATTTTGGGCATTTACAATTTTACAAGAAATACATAACTGGAATACGGGGCCACAATTAGAATTGTGTTTAAATTTGATGTTCAAAATTAACAATTGAGGAGTCATTAAAGTTACCGTTCTTTAACACACTTTCTGTAGAAACCGTCAGATGCGGTTCATGATTTGGATCTCATCAGCGCGTCGTAGACAGTTTCGACAGAACACGGGGCTTTCAAAAACTTCGAACAGCAACAATGTACTCAAATTGTTGAAACAAAGTACAATGGGTACTTATCCTTTAAATTCATCCGATGTTATTGTGGAAAGGTAAAGGTGTGGATAAGTAATAATAAAAAAGCTGTAGTAGGTAGATAGCGGAAGGAAAATGTGTTGATCGAAAAAAGGGGCCGTAAAATAAGGAAAGGAGCAGGGAAAATATAGCAGGAACGAATAAAAGGATATAGAACGAGAACTGGCTTTGTTACGAAGCAATATATTGTGAAAAGTCCTCCCGCGCCAACGATATTCGAGATTGTCGCCATTTTCGCGTGGCAACGAAATGGCGCGATAGACATAATAAAATACGCTATATACGGAAAATGCATTACGATTTCCCTGCCATAATGGCTCCCGCGGGAACTTGACAAACTCCTCCATATTATTTCGTGCTCAGGCTTGTGCGCCGTTTTAACGTTAATAACCCGACTTTCGAATAACGCCACTACACCACAAAACACACACACACATATACACGTAAATACATACATACATTCACACGCATACAAACTAAATACAGAAACAGTGTTGCCGTTGCTGCAATTTGTGCGATGTTGCATTGAGGTATATATGTATTATACATATTTGCCGGCAGATAACTGCGCCGCACTAAAACGTAAAATGGTAACAACGGGATTATTTCCGCCAGCTTGGCTCTCATTACAAAATAACCACCCACTTACGTTTCTTTTTACGTGAAAAATTGCTACTGTGTTGACGGAGATAAGATATAAAAGTTCACAGAAAGGAAATAATTAAACTAGGGTACCGGGTACCTATATGTAGATTTACGGGTATCCTACAGTTGAAAGCTCCTTAGAAGTTTCGGTTAAACGCCCTTTATATGTATTATGCAATTAAATACAGTAAAAGTTCAGTAAAGCTGTGCATATATTTTAAGTATTTGAAAACAATTAATTTAATCTTTACAGTTTTAATTAAACACCCTGTGTATCGAACATTTTAAGGTAGACAATTTAGTTGTTAATACCTTCAAAGAATCGGTGAAACACTCTGTTAAAGTTTAATTAAAACAAACAAATAAAAAAGAAACGAAACTCTTTAGTCTCCGAACTGTATTAAGTCGAAATTTTGGCGTTTAAATTTTCTTTATCTTCATGATTTTTAAATTCCTATTATCTATTTTATAAACGAATGTGCCACATTCGAATATTGGGACAATATTGATTTGGTGCAATAATCCTTTTATTTAAATAATCTGAAAACTCAATTAGATTTCGGCTATGGGCATTGGATTTTTCCAGGCTTGCTAGCCATGGTCTAAGTTAGTTGCTAATTCTACTACTACCATTGATAAAATTTGTACTACTGGTAGAATTATCAACCAACCTAAACCATGGTCAGTATGTCCGGAAAATGCCAATGTCCATATTGACTCCGGCCATGAAAATTTATAGCAATCAATCAATTAGATATACTCGAAGGACCGAAAAATGGTACCCAAAGAAGCTGGACTGATAAAGATCTTTCTTTATTCATTCTGAATTCGGAAAAGAAAAGTTATCCTAAACTGGAATCGAGTACATTATGTAATAAATGAAAATAAAAGTAGGTACTTTATAATTCTAGATTCATTACATTTTTCCTACAGAATTATACATCCGGCGAAAATCTAAGAAAAAATTAAAAAATTGGAACAACCTGAAATATTCTAAACTTTTCTTGTTTCAGATAAAAATCTGGGTAATTATTGGAGCCCCAACTCAAAACTGCTCCAAAAACCAAAAATATCAAACGAGGGCCGTGACTGCTACCCACCTTAAGCTAACCTACCCTACCTAATAACTCAAACTACCCCAACTTAGGTTAGGTTTAGTTAGGTAACAATTTCCCCCTCTCCTTAATATTTTTGTTTCCAAAATGTCTTCCCTCATCAAAAATTTACCTACTATTTTTCTCTTTGGAAGTAGTCTCCAGGGGATGGAAGATTTTTTAGACCCAGTTTTGTATGGAGCCTCAATTCTATATAATTACCAAAATTCTGATATGAGCATTAATTCATGAATATGCTTAAATATATTTTTAATGTATTTCAACCATTTTCTACCAGATAATCAGATGCATTATTTCATTTAAACAATATATAATATAATACAAAAAGATTCATTTGCCGTAATATTTAATATGCAATAAAATAACCACCACTTCAAACATTGCTTATACATGTGGTGTGTGATTGTACGCATAGGGTACGTATCCATTTACACGTTAATCAACTAAGTATATATTTACCTTTTGAATAACATTATATTTTAGTTTCTTACACAATTATTACACACCCGACACCACTATTCCCGATTTACAAACTATACATCCTAATAACAAATACAATACAGTAATAAAAAACTTGTTGAAAATGTTATCTAATCTGCCATCTGACATACAGTGGCTGAACTATTCACATGCATTGTAAGCTGAAAAGATATCTAATTAAGTTTAGTTCTAACCATAGAGCAAAAAATAAAGACAATGAGCGCCAATTTAAATCCTGATTCAAATTATCAGCTATTAGGATAAATATTTCTTTTAATTAAAATAAAAAATTTTATAAATAATTACAACGTACAATACTAATATTTATTTTTTTAATTTCAAATAAGTTACTGATAAGAAAAAAGTACACAAACAGTTGATAAGTTTTTATTATCACCCATAATATATAAACATGCTGATTATGCTTACAACTAGATTAATGAAGAGAGAACTAATAACCCAAAAACTAATTTATTTCTGTGTCTTAAAGAATTCTTTTGAGCCCTTTGGATCAGGCTTAATTGTTTTATCACCTTTCCTCCAATTAGCAGGGCATACTGTAATTACACAAAACATAGTTATCATAATAAATTCTAATCATTTTACTATTAATGCAATTTTACCTTCCCCATGAGTATCAGCAAACTGTACAGCTTCAACTAATCGCAAAGCCTCATCAACTGATCTACCAATTGGTAAATCATTTACACACATATGCCTTACAATCCCTTTTGGATCAATTAAAAATAGACCTCTTAATGCTATCCCTTCTTTTTCTAAAAGGACTTCATAATCACGTGCAATATCTTTCTTCAGATCTGATAAGAGGGGGTATGAAATATTACCTAATCCACCTTCCTACAGCAAAATCATTGTATTAAACAAAATAACAACCCCTAAATTGTTCACTTACCGAACGAGGAGTGTTAATCCAACCTAAATGGGTGTAATGTGAATCTACTGATACACCAACCAACTCAGTGTTTAATTTCTGAAACTTGCTATACTCTTTGTCAAATGCAACCAATTCAGTTGGGCACACAAAAGTACTACAACATAATAAACATAAGACATAATAAAATTGAAAGTTCATTTGATAAACTATACATACAAATCTAAAGGATAAAAAAACAAAATCAGATATTTTCCTTTAAAATCTGATAATTGAATTTCTTTAAAATCGGAACCTACTACTGCTGTTCCTTTAAAATCAGGGGCTTTCTGCTGAACCATAGGGGCAAAAAGTCCATAACCTAAAATGTGACCACATACAAAATATGTCAACAAACAACAAGATAAACATACTGGTTGAGATATTTCTTATAAAACTGGGTTTATTGGTATTTGTAGTAGCATTAATAAGCTTTGGAGCCTAAAAAGAGTCGTTTCATAACCTAAATTTTATTAACGTAACCAACTTACTTTTCTAATGATAGTAGAAAAAATACGAGACATTTTGAATAATCAATAAAATGCAATAGCACTAATTATTATACATAAGTAATATTCGTAATAATTCTTGCTCTTAGAAAAAGTTCTCACACATTTCTAAATTCGGGACAAATACAAAAAGCCGTAGATCTAAATATTTAAATGTCACGTACTTATCTATGGTGACATTCTGCGTATATCAATAGATGTATTTAAGACGTGTTCACTTCCGCTGATAAAAAAATTGAAAAGTTAACTTTCGCTTAAACTCTAGATCACCCTTTCGGTTGCGATATTCCAAAAATAATTAAAGTAAAATGTATTAAAAATATAGTTTTATTGTATGTAAATAGATACCAATAGATATTTACAATTTTCAAGTACGTATATTACTTTGAAGTACATTTTCATCATAAAATTAATTAAGTTATAAGTACTAATTATCACAGATATTTGGTATACATTATTTTCATTTTTTGGCACGGAATAAAGATTAATTATTTGGCATGTTTTAATTTTGCGATAAAATAACTCAGATCACCGACGATCTACCCACGTGGTTCTGACCATTTGTAGCTAAGACAGGTCTTATCAATTTTCTTTCTTGTTGAATTTGCAAGGGATTTCTGCTATCATGTTTCATTTTTTTCCTGTAATAGCATAGCCAAACCGTCACCGGTATTAAAGCAAAAACCAATGGTATAAGAAATAACAAAGAAAATGAGGTGTGAGGTTCCCAATTAGTTGTTGACGAGATCACTTTTACTGTTGCATGTTTCAAGTCTTTCCCATGCTCTGTCATTGCAACACACACATATAGACCACTGTCGATCTCACGAATATCGTGAATATTCAATTTACTCATATAAACGTTGACCTCGTGGGGTACAGGGTGCACCTGAACACTTGTGTTGATTCGAATGTAAAACTTATCGAAATATTGAATGTCGTAGTTTGTACTGTCGCTCTGTTTGAACCACAAGATAACAGGTGGTTGTTGACTGTACACCTTACACTGAATTATGATCTGAGCGTTTTGTTGAACGGTGACATTCGATGGGATGACGTCGAGAAGTTCTGGGGGCATTCCACTGTATTTGGTAAAATCTGTAACAGAGTATACTCTTCCTAGCAGCGACAGTAACTAACTTACAAAATTAAAAAAAAATTTAACTTTTGAGTGTTTCATTCCCACCAGCTACTAATGCGGTGGGTGGATAGTCCGAAGGATAGGAAGGAAGGCTCTCTTCAGCGTTCTTTTAAGAGTCGAGGGAAGGGGGTGGGTGGTGTTTGGGGTGAAAACGATGAGACGGACGAAATGAAGGCAGAAAAGAGTGCAAGATCATCTGTGGAATATTACTTCCCTTTCATTTGCCTAACTGATTCAAGGAAACTACAGAAAAACTTGGACAGGAAGAGGGGACTCGAAATAGAGCCAGTGTCCATCAGAATGCTATGCAATGATCTAAACCGCTAGACCAAGCAGCTCGGTCTGACAATCTAACTTAGAAATTCAAGGTGTCATGGTTATAAAGGGCTTGATCATATTCGATTGGCTGTTGCTTGCTACGTCAATAAGTTACGTATAATGACACCTGCTCGTACGGGGTACGTTCGTACAAATATCTTACAGTAGAAAAATGACTATAACTCTTTAACCTTTTGACATAACCGTTTCGGAATTTTTTATAACAAACTACAATATTTTTGTTACACTTAGGTACATAAACTAGAAAAATTTAACGACTTTAATAGGATTTTTAATTACCCTGTATCAATCTACTCCATGGCGTATGAAAGTACCCTACCTATTGTACGAACGTACCCCACGTACGGGGTACGTTCGTACAAATATGTTACATTAGAAAAATGACTATAACTCTTTAACCTTTTGACATAACCGTTTCGGACTTTTTTATAACAAACTACAATAGTTTTGTTACACTTAGGTACATAAACTAGACAAATTCGACAATTAATCATAAAATAAAAAAATAAAATCTAAAATGTGTACGAAGGGTAACCACTTTCCCCTATACACGTTTTATTAAAGTTACCTTTCCTTTATTAATAAAGGCGTTTTAAAATTTTAAGTTAGGTACCTTTAAATACTAAATTGGTGCCCGTGCCCACTAACGTCCCGCATCCGCCAATGGTGGACGCGTAAGCAGCAATTAAATAATAAGCTGTTGTGATTTTTGTGGGTCTTTTTGCTTCGGCCTTTTCTTCTTCGCTTAGTTCATTATAGTTGGGTGGGTAAACGTACATTGCCCCAAGATTATTTGTTTCGAGTTCGCGCAAGCATGCATCAATAATGGGTAACATCATAGCGGTGGCGGCCGTGTTAACTATCCACATGGATATAAACATGGTAATTAAAGCCAAGCCCAAGTGCAATTTCCTATGACTTGTGCCCACAAACAAAATCCAATTCAGAGCTATTCTAACGTTCAGACCACTATACTCAATCGAAATAGCAATCATTATTCCAGCTTAAAATAAAAAAAATACACTTTTCAATAAAGTAATAAGCAGCCACAAACAGCGCTGTGAACGCTATTTTAGAAATTTGCTTTTTATTGTGAGATTCAATGATAGGCGAAAAATGTTCTTAGTCGGTCGATACTGTTTAGTTCTCAGGAGCACACCGTAGACACGTAGACAAAGCATCGTTCAAGTTTTGAACATTTTTTTCCCTAAATTAATATTTTTCGATTATAGAAAATACGACAAATGGCGCTGTAAACGCCATCTGTAGTACAGTGATACATTTTAGGATTACGTATGCTTCAGCAAGGTCCATTTAAATATATGGATACCTACTTGCTGAAACGAATCCCGGCGTAGCTCACCTCAACGTGGTAGGCACGTTACCATAATCGAATAAAATAATTCGAAGTGGTCTGTATTCTGTCGAAACTGCCAGACGCGGATCGCGATTTCGATCTTTTT